TCCTGTAGGGTGTTTGTTAACAGAGCCTTCTTTGAAACTTTCCCCGTGCCTTGTTCAGTGCATCTCTTCCAACTCGCTGTTCCTGTGTTACATCCTTTTATAATAAACCAGAGATCTAGTAAGTAGAATGTTTCTTTGAGCTGCTCTCGCAAATTAATCAGACCCAGAAAGGGGTGTGGGAATCTCCAATTTATAGCCAGTTGCTGAAAAGCACAGGTGGACTTGTGATTGGCATCTGAACCAGGGGAGTGGAGAGGTGGGGCGCAGTGGGGAGGCACGACAGTCTTGTGGGACTGAGACCGTAATCTGTGGGATCTGATGATATCTCCAAGTAGATAGTATCAGAACAGAGTTAATTGCTCGGTGCCTTGGAAAACACCTGCATCAGACCGTGCCTTTGAGAGCCAGTCCCACACTTCTGAAAGGTGGCCAACCAGTGACCTCAATTCCTTGGCGCAAGGTTAACCAATCCCTAAACATTGCCACTTCTGAGAAACCAGCCAATCCCTGAACTCTTGTGTTTCCCAGAAACTCTCCATAAAATTAACAGGAGAGGGGCCCAAGTCAGTTCGCCAGGGAACCAAGCTGCACACATAGGGCTTACATGCCTCAACTCTCCTCTGGCAAACTGGCCTTCCTGGTTACCTGCTGGGGTGGAGGCATCTACCTGAGTGTCAACTCAGCTCCCCCACCTTCCAGCTATGTGCCTTAGGACAAGTTCCTTAGACATTGTGAACCTCCATTTCCTCCATATACTTTCCATGATTGTTCAAAGGTGTTCAAGGAGCTCAGGGTAAAGCACATGTTCTCTTCTGGAAGGAGCTGAATGATGCCATCAAGCCAGCAACTGGTCTCCTTGGCCTCATCTCTCGAATCCACTACAGATTGTTGGCAACCAGCTCTCAAAGCAACCCAGGAACACACGTATGACCCAGCACGCTAAAGCATCATGATGAACGTGCTGAACCAGAAAGAAAAAGTCTGATTTTTCTTGTTCACTACCGAGTCTGTCACCTGTAACGTCATCTCATAGTGGTCAGAATTCAAAAAGTTACTTTGCCTAAAAAGACCCCCAAAAATCTGCTCCCATATCTCCAAATGCCCATGCTGGAGGGAGAGGGAGATGGAGATGGTTGCAGGGGCCTTTTAGCAAATGATTCTTTTAGCAGGGAGGATTGGGGCGGGGCGAGGTGGGGTGACCATGGGAGGACAAAGCAATGCAACTGCTTAGCTGCAAAGGTTGTGACAATGTAACTGCACAGAAAATCATATGCTGCATAAAAATTGTGTGTGTGTGTGGGGGGGGAAACCAAGGTCTCCAATAGCCTGCAAGCTCTCCCTGACTGGATGCTGGCCGTCAGTGCCTCCTCCGTGGGAGATTTGATACAAATACAGGAGCTCCAGCTTTCTGGAAATCAGTTAGCAGGAAAACTTCCTGCTCTTCCCACACTGTCCTCCCAACTCAATCCCCTCCTCTCCACCTCAGCCCAGCTGGCTCCGTCTCCGCACACTGAGGCTCCCTGTGCCATGCTGACCCTTCTCCCCTGCCAGCCCTTCAGCTTCCCATGCCCAGAATCTGTCCCATGGGTGTCCTCCCCTTTATTGAAGTGCCTAATGGCTAGGCCTGGGGAGGACACTCCTAGAAAACTGACCTTCATCCCCTTGCCTCGAGGGAAAGAGCTGGAGTATTGGTTCCAGTTATTTCCATCTGGGAAGTGGGCAGGCTTGCTGCCAGTGTCCAGAGGGCAGCAGGTTAAACCCCCTGTGAGAAGGGCAGAGAGAACATGTCCTGCCCAGTAGAATCCTTGCTCTGTGTGGTCAGTTTCCATTACAGTTAGAACTCTGGAGATGGGGGAAGGTGTTCCTCCCCTGCTTTACCATCTCCTGCTTTATGCAGCTGCCTCGGTACACTCCATATCCTTTATCATTGAAGTCCAATTTTTTCTGTTGGTATCTTTTCAGCACTCGGATTGCTCTCTCTTGGTAACAACCACGAACTCTTCTGTCCTGAAACCTCTCTACCGCCTCTATTGCTCTTTGTGCGCACTGCCAGACCTCTCTAAGGGGAGACCTACACTGAGTCCCCATCTAGCTCTGTAATGCCCTTCTCTCCAAAAGGAACGCTCAGCTCCTTGCTACCATTTATATGTCAGTGTCTTGCTACCATTTACATGCGGCTGATGCCACTTAAACTTAGCAGGTACAAGGCCTCCCATCAAGAGATCCTTCCTAATTCCTCAATGTATTTCCTATTTACTCCAGCCCGCTCTATGCACACTTACTAATTTTAATGCCTGTGACCCCAACGTCACATAGGAATTCTGCCTAACAAAACTGAAGCTTGGTGATCGAGACAATGATTGTGCTGAGACTCTGCAAACCAACTTTGCTGTAGGAGGAACCAGGACTTGAAGATCTATGACTTTGAGACCTGCAGAATAGGTTGCTAAAAGTCGCCTCACATTTTATTCAATGATTTGGGGTGTATCTATGATAGGATTGTAACCCTTGTCCACGTCCCACTCTCAGGATGGAATATTTAGGAGCCACCAAAGGTCATGAAGACAAAATAAATAATAAGTAGAGACAAAATGCAGTGGCTTTCAATACATGAAGTATCAGAAGTGGGCCCCAAATTTTTTGTTAGCTCACTGGTATTGAGTACAGCTGCCACTCTCTTGATCATCACATATTTATTGGAGAACTTCTGGAGAACACTAGTTTGAATTTCAAATATTCAAATTTAGGCAATTCTGAGCTGTCTCTGCTGGAAAGTGCCAGAGAGAAAAACAAACCCTTCCCAGTGCAAGGGTTCATCACAATCCACATTCTCCAGTGATTGCCAAGGAGTCTCCTTCAAAGGACTGAATACATTTCTTTACAAGGGATTTACATTTTCAATGATGTTTTTCAAAATTTCCATTTAATTATTACAGTCAACTTTTTTCAGTTCCCAATTATTCTCAGCATAGCCTACTTATTTACTCATCATAATTTCTAAGCAAGTACTTGTATATACATGGGATGGCTTTATTTTTTTGTTAAGGCAATTGAAGACAAATGCCCGGGACAAATTCAGTGGGAAAAAAAAAAAACTATTTCCAGCTGAATGTGCCAAATGTGGTGAACAGGCCCTATTTTGGATTTTCTGCCCTACAGGCTTAGATAGATGATGGCTATAAAGCTTGATATTATTTCCTCACGTTTTTTTTTTTCTCTTTCTAGCTGTAACCAAGTTCCAAAGGCCATTTTTTCTAAAGAAATCATAAAAGCTTTTCGCTAATCTTCTACCTAAAGGTTATTCTTCACACCAGGGTTTGGGGATAACATTCAAATAAGTCACTTCAGTGTGACGTAACGCACATTACAGCACCATGGAAAACGTGGCCTCCCTTTCTGGAGGTTCCAACGAATCAAGAAGGTTGCTGTCCAGACATAGTTGGCGATCCTCCTCACTTCTGTAGCTCCAGGGTTGTGACCCAATGATTTTCCTTTTTTTTTTTCTGTACATAATGCTTTTCATTTTTCAGTTTACTTTCCTCTTCATCCCATTGTTTCAAAAAACAAAACTATCTTTAAAAATGCCCTTCACTTAGAGCAACCTTCCTGTAACTACCTCAGCGGGGGTTACTGTCTTGAGTAGATATTAGTGATTTATTCTCTCCCCAGTCTATCTTGTTCCAATTACATTGCTAGAGAACTTTATTTCAATGCCTGTTTATTGTGAACTACTAGTCTTGCCCAGAGAACACATCTCATGCTCCTATCTTCCATACTAGGTTAAGAATCCCGTCCTAAAGTTTGTCACCTCCCACTCCTTTCTATCAATCTAGGATTAAGCTTTTCCCTTTACCTCCACCTGCCATCTAGTCCCTCTTTGTAGGAGTCTGGAAGACTGTTTTCCTAGTTTAATCCTCCGCTTTGGGCACACATTAGTTGAAAGAAACAGCAACATCACCAAAGTAAACAGTGAGCTCCTGGATTCTAGAATGTGGTTTTTAGGAGTCTTGTTTCCTACCTCCCCTCTTGCTTTCAAGCTTCTAAAAATCTTGAAGTCCGTATCAGTCCTTCCTGATTAATTTTTACATGAGGTTTCTTACGTCCTGACAATTCTTTGCCAAGTGCGAACTCTGTCACTTGCTTCCTTCCACGTACCTTTTCTGGGCATCGGCTCTATGCCAGAGGTCCAGCCATCAGGGAGCTGGCATTTTAGCGAAAGGCAACTTCAGAGTGGGCATGACGGCTGACACAGACTTACAGACTAACTGGGTGGGAGCCCTGGAGGTAGTAAAAAGGGTCATTTCGACCTGGCTCCTGGAACATAGTAAGTACTCCATTATTAGTTCAATGTTTAGAAATATACAACATATGGTAGTATATTTTTTTAAATCACTATTTGGCCGAAGAGTGCTTGCACTGTACCTGGAACTGTTATAGAGTAAAAGAGATTAAAGAAGCATGACAACTAAATGCAATACTTATCCCTGAATTAAAAATAAAATAGCTATCAAGGCCATTATTGGTACAAATGAGATTTTAATCTAGACTGTATATTGGGTAATAGTGTTGCATCAGTGTTAAATTTCTTGAGTCTGATCATTTTATTGTGGTTCTAAGAATGTCCTTGCTTGGAAATATTAGGTATAAAGTGTCATAACGTAATTTACTCTCCAGTAGTTCAGAAAAAAGTGTATCTATTTATAGAGAGAACTTCTCTCTCTCTCTCTCTCTCTCTCTCTCTCTCTCTCTCTCTCTCTCTCTCTGTCTCTCTCAGTGGCACAGAAATGTGGCAAAATGTTAACAACTGGAAAACCTAGGTGGTAGATGTACGTATGGATGGGTGTTCATTATATTGTTATGGCATTTTTTCCTATGCTTTGAAATTTTTCAATATAAAAAGTTGGGAAAAGAAAAAGAATAAAAAACAAAATACTTGAAAACTACCTTAAGTGGTTTTTGAAGAAAAAGCTAGAGAAGAGAAGAAAGAATTCACAAATCAGTTCTGAAACCAAACACAAATACTTTTTATTTATGGGATATCATTTTACATCAGTTACATTAAAACCTAAAACCAGTTTGCTGTACTCAAGTTAGGTGGCATAACAGTATCTGAGTTAAGCTGGGAGTCACAGGACTTGCACACGTTTATGAATGTAATGCAAATACTGACGACATGAAGCATTCACAGTTATAGGTTAGCTGCTGTTCAGTCCATTTAACAGTAACCCCCATGGAAAATTACTTTATGAAAAAAGCAACCCACATTTTGGTCTCATTTACAGACATCCAACATTTTAGTTGGTCAATGAATTCTATACACTTATTATTCAACATATGAAAGAAGAAAAGATAAGGCTTACAGAGGTATTTTAGCAGTTTTAAGAATAAAAACCAAGGGCACAAAACGAACTTTTAAAGCTTTCTGTATAAACTTCAAAAGCACTGTTAAAATGGAGACAGAGGCAACAGAAATCTGTTGTTAAGCCTGAAGGTTTGTCTAGTCAGATTTATAACAACTTAATTCAGAGTTCACGCTTCCCAAAAGCTGCATGTGACATTACAGTGGGTGTTATGGCAAATCAAATAATGAAATTTGTGACCTACTGCAGTAGTAAACATCTACAAGTTGTATTCCATTACGACAGGGTATTGCAATGAGGAGTTCAAAACACAACAGAAAGAGATAAAGGGTGTAGACTTAAGTAATTAAAAAAAAAAAAACAATCAGAAGAAGGCACCCTAATTTATTTAATATTAGCCAGTAAATATGTGCTTGATGATTGCTCAATTCTATACAATTTAGGGACATTTTTAAGAAAAGGTCTCTTATTACTCTGACCCTTTTTCCTTCCCTTAAAAATAACTTCATAAAATCAAGAAAACCAAGGGCAAGCACTCTGCAGTCACAGACGTTTATTTTTCAAGGGCGTTTAAGATTATTTGGAGTTTTCTAAATATGCAAGATTATCGCTTTGGAATACCTACTTTCCTATTATATATCATGAAACCGTTTTTACTTGGGCTTTTCCCCCCCATTATCAAAATGTTCATTGTGAATAAAATGGAACCTCTCTCCTATAACAGTCCTTTAATTTAGGATTAACTGTGCTTAGTGTTTAAAAAACTCTCCAGTTCCTAATAATAACTTTTAAAATAATTTCATCAATGGTTTATATTTGTATATTCATTTGTGATTCATAGTTGATCAAATTTAAGAACTGTTGACTTTACAGTGATTTTAAAAAAATAAAAAAACTTTACAGGATACTTTTGAAAATAAATCAAGTTCTCCACAGATCAGAACCTGCCTGTGGTCAATTGCCACTGGAACAGCGCCATCAGAACCAAGGGCTGTGTTTGCCATTAACATCTTCAATTCTTTTCAGATATTAATTTGTGCAAACTGGTATGAATTTATAAAGTAGAAGGGAGTCTACAAACCCTAAACAAGGAATGATTAAGTATGCTTAATCACTATAGAGTTTTTCAAACTTCTGGTTTATTTTGCAGCAAACCAAACCTTTCTATTTGGTAGAAAAAGGAAGTAATTTCATTCTACCACATTATGATTTTGTATATGCACACACACACTGTATATACATACAAAATTTCTGTCTTTGGTGGTTCAGTTAGAGAAAAAAATAATATGAAAATCTGAACACAGTTTGCAAAGAAACTGTGACATAGTGGTCAAGAGTAGCATTGTCTGTGTGCTTTTCTGATTTAATGCCATTTAAAGGTTCACATTTAATCCAGAAGATTTTTCAGCCAGATTTTGAAATGATCCAAACCTCTTCCAAACATATATTCAATCATGGATCTTGCTCACAACTATAGCATTCACTTGTTCAAATGCACCATTAGCTTTTTATTTGGATTAAATCATTAGACTTTTGTGTTTCAGAAAACTTTAGGGACTAAAATAGTCGTTTAATAGCACCAGATAGTTGAGGGGGAAACATGTTATCTATACATTTCCTCAAGAAGGGTAAGGCAAGGGGAGGGGGGGGGGGAAAAGGACATAAAATACAAACCTAAAAATACCATCCTGTTCACTTGTTTCCTCATCCACATAAATAATGGCTACCGCCTTTCTATACAAATTATCCAGGTAATGACGAGTGGCCTCTCCAGAAAAGGGCCTGCCGTGTAATAGAGTTATTAGCTCAATGCTGGTGGTTTCGTGTCCACTGCCTGCAATGGACATTCTGCCAGGAAAAGCCTAGCATGAAAGAAACAAAAAGGAAAACAAAACACCTCTCACTTATAATAAGAGTTCTTTTTCCAAAAAAACTAGAAAATTAGACACCATGAAAGCTTAACTAAAAATTCAAGCCACAACTAAAAGTGCTCTGCAGTTATAAAATGCCAGCAAACCATTAGGTTTTCATGGAGAAGGAAAAACAAATCTTACTTAGGATGGCAGTGAAAGCATCAGCAGACTAAACACTGACAAGAAGAATGCAAAAGAGAAAAAAAAAAAAGAAACTAAAGAAAGTTTACAAGAGTTTAAAACCATCTCATTAAAAAAAAAAGGTGCAATTTTTAACTTGTTCATTTGTACCTATATTCAAATTATTACAGCTTTTAACATCAGAAAAGAAAAACCTATACCTTACATGGTGGAAATGATTTGTGACATGGTACATGTCTATATGTTCAAATAAATACAAGTTTCATCATTTAAAAATGCTAATATTTAAGTAGACCAAATTATATTTGGCATATGCCTCTCCAAAGTTATAACTCCCACTTCCTTCCAAAAGTTGGCCTCTTGAACAATACAGTGAATTCTGGCAACATTTACTTATGGTAACAGTTGTTCTGTCATGTTTCCTGAAATGCTACATTTGAGACCAAATAAAGTGTTATTGGTTCATTTGAAAAAAGGGACTAGAAATATGCCACAAAATTATTTTTACAATACATTTTTGCAGAAATAATCTCTAGGTGAAGCTTTTTCTTTTTATACACATATACAAAATTTTAACAGCAATATACACATAATCACAGTGAGGACGTTGGCAAATTCACCAATCTGTAGTGTAAATACAACTGCAAAGCAGCCTTCCAAGAGAACAATGCTACACAGCAGGCAGAGCTGGCCCATTCCATAGCAAACACCAAAAAACGTCCCTGCAAAAGGGAGACAGTGCAAGAGAAGCAGCATGCGCTTTGATACAAACAGCGATTTATGGCTAATGGTTGACATAACTGTGGTAACAGTGACTCTTTCGCTGCTATGCATAAAGTCCTAGGACATCTGTTTGTCTTTATACCACTCCACAAACTCGTCCAACAAAACTGGCCCTGAAGAGAGAGAGAGAAAACAGCACGGCTCTGAGGCTTTTCACAGTGAGAAGGACGTGCAAATGTACAGCGATGGGGGAGCTGAGGGGACACCCAACACGGTACTTACACGCTCCGTCTTCGTCATAGTTGCTGAGGTCAAGATTAATGGTTCTGCTAAACTCTAGCACATTGCACCACTGGTCTTTGTTAATAACTTTATATTTTGATTGCTGATGGAGGGAAAAGTAATAGGAATTACTGACACAATTTAAAAAATGGAACGGTTTCAACTGCTGTATGAATCAACTTAATATACAGTTCATGAAGGTTAACTCTTTCCATTTGTGGTGTGTTAAGCACCAACCTAGGAGAAGGGTGAGAGAGAGCGAGAGTAGAACTTAAGAGGACAATTTTCATTATAAAAATATTATGGGGGCTCAACACAAAATGACAAGCACATCAAAGGAACACAGTTTTACTTCCCTAGAAGTGAAATTTCTAGACTGCAAAAGCCGTTTTATAAAAAATGGGGATAATACCTACTTCACAGAGATACTGCAAGGATTAAAAGAGATCATTTATGTAATTTATGTAAAGCACTTCATTCAGTGCTTGGCACAAAATAAGTGCTAAATCAAGAGTAGCTTCCATGAATAAGCCCGATGTGACAAGCAAGCTCACTGTCAAGTTGTCAGCTGAAAGTACACGTAGCAGTGGGTTACTCTACAAGGGCCTACTAAGTGCTACACGCAGACTCAGATTAGGTGCTTCAGCTGCTGAAGAAAACTACTGTTCTAATCATTCAAAACTTGAATCTTATCATAAAAGTAATCAGAATAGCCATGAGGTAATTTTCTATTCCTCTTAGAAAAGAAATATGCCACATGTATATTTTAAAATACAGTAGTCCTGTATAAAGATTTGAAAATAAAAGCCAGATACAATAATGTCTAAAGCCTAACCACTACTAAGATCAGAAACATTGGAAAACAATACAAGCACATAAAAAGAGTTGGGCCAATGGTTTTGAGGATGCCAACACAAGAAAAGCTCAAAGGAATGGATTACTGTGTCCTTTTAAAAGGAAAATGCAAACTAGTAAGAAAGAGAACAAAGCACAGACTACAAGTTTAACTTTCTAAGCAACTACAAGCAAAATCCAGCCATTGCAACAGTTGATGAGGCTCCTAGACTCGTGGAAGGTCCAACTGGCTTGCGGCACAATCTTTCAGCTAAAGACCCCTTCACACTCAAGCTCAAATTCTGTTAACCTCTCTGAGAACAAGAATCTGTTTCTCCTTGTTTTCCAAATGAAGCTAACATTTCATATGGCTGTCAGAGAAATCAGAACAGATCATTTGTTGGTATGAACTATCATGTAAACAAATACTTGGTATATTAAAACTAGTTTTTACACCTTTCTTGAGGAGTTCCAGTTAGTAACGTTACAAGCAAACTTTAATAACAGTCTTCAAAGAATCCTATCAGTTGGAAGTTTTTCTGGACAACTACATATAGTAAAGTGGTAAGAAAGATGATTTCAAGAGTGAAGCTGGAGTTGGGGGAAGGCCCAGTGTTTCCTCAAAGACCCAACACGCTCAATTCTTTCAAGCAAAGGACATTTTTAAAAGGGGTTTGGGGCAGGAAGGCAAGAAGGATGCTATCTATCCATGACAACCCAAGTGACTCAAACTTACATCTCGGGTACTTTCAGGTCCTACGGTATGACAGTGCATCAAAACCAGCTCCCAATTACCAGCAGCTCAAAGTTTTTTATTATTAACACTTAAAGCAAATAAATAATGATGGAGTAAAGTTCTGGATTATTCTAATACAAACATGAAGAATTTTTAAACTGAAGGAGATACTGTCAGTTTGCCTAACACTGAGATTGATTCAAGGTCCCCAACTTACTTGGAGATAAGAGAAGACTACATTACGAACTTCTGTTAATAAGAAGGCAGAGATGGCTGTTTTTGAAGCATTGCTTAATAAAAGTACAAATTCATGTAAAGCCACAAAAGAAAGTAAATCTTGTGTTACTATTGTTATAAAGAGCAGGACATCTAAACAAAAGAAAAGCCTTTAAAATGGGAAAGAGTGGGGAGAAGACAGGGCTCGGGCAGCTGCGTCGGATGCACTTGCACTGGGGTGAGGCCACATGACATGAAACACACACAGATGCGCTCAGAGAAAACAGGTCGCTGCTGATTGGCAGCAACTACGTCCCCACAATTCCTATAGGCAGAGAAGTGCAACAAACAGAAAATTATACAAAATGGTTAAACAAAGTACACTTGGTAGTTCTAAGCAAGCAAACATATATTCCATAAAATAACAATTTGGTACCTCTAAGAATTGGTGAAAAACTGGAAAAAGGGGCCAGATTTTTCCTAATAACAGTCCCAACATGCACTTGGCAGTGTTTATGTCTAGGCTGCGCTGGTCCTTTTCCTGTTTGACAAACAAAAACAAGAATGAGCCCGATGCCCCCAATAATCAATTCCCATAATCCAAATTTCTACTTCACTTCAACAATAAATTAGTAAACAGCTCATTTGTCATTTATAATACACCATTAAACCCTGGATCGAGACTAAGGTGAGGAAGCGGAGGTAGTCAAACACAACGGAAGGCTGGCTCATTCTGGTACTATATAAGTTTACTGTGAGATTCATTTCATTTCAATGATTGTACTAATGCAATAACAAAATCTACGATTTTTTCATGGGATAAATAAAAATATATAACTCAATCATTTGCTGTTTGACATTGATGATAATTATCAAAATCATAATTGTTCACCCCAAAGCCCATAACTTACTAAATAAAGTTTCATGGTTTCAATTTCCATTATTAGGAATCAGGTTTCCTTAACAAAAATCATTTTTCTAAATAATTTTATTTCATTAGTAAATGTTTTTCTTATACCTAAACATGCTGGAATTATGAATTCAGCTCATAATAAATGTTGGGGCTCTGGAGAGTCCAAGTAAGAGGGTGTATTCACCCACCCACTCTGGGGGAAAGTAGTCTATTATAGTCCTTCTTACCTTGGATTTGTTAGATGTGAAATCTCACGGCAAAATACCCCTAACTAGTAACCAAGTGAAAGACATTTCATAAAGAAACCAGAAAAGAAGTATCATATAAACCTGAATATGGGCAGATTAAGCTCCTTCTACTTATATTTGTAATTAAGGATATTAATTTCTCATTCTCAATTTTCTTATAAGTTCCCACTCTGGAACTACACGTGGGAAGTTTCTATGTAAAGGGACAGAGGACCTGGGGCTATAAGGGGTAACCTTACATATCCAGAGCTAGCCTCCCAGTGGTATCTGCATGCCAATGGAAATGTGCAAAAGTACTTTTCTACAAAGGGAGACCGTCCCTGACTATTCCATCTGGGGTGGAATCTAAATATTCACAGATGATGCTGTGGCCACCACTGCCAGCCACATATCCAGCATTCACACCTCCTGATAAAATATATTATTCCCTCAAGGACGCAAACAGTGATGTGCTCTTTAGTACACAGAGAATTTCTGGCCTTGACACTGAATTTGAAAGCGAAGGACTTAAACAATACAGCAAATGTAAGGGCCTCGCTAACAACAGCAAACCAGGGAGATGAAGATACAGGAAGACGTGTGATCAGTCTATCTTTTGATCCCAGTCATAAAAAATAATGACTGTTCACGAACAGGCCAAGTCAGATGGCTTCGCGTCACCCCTCTCTGTCATAGGCCACACAGCTTAAGTCTGGTTAACGGTCGGGGTGTCCCAGTTTCGCAGTTCAATGCACACAGATGGGGCTGCCCTTCCAAAGCCTTCTCTGCCTGTTCCTTGGCCGTGCAATGCCCTGCTCAGGGCTGCAGGACTCACTGCCAATGGAGAGGAGGACAAGAGAAAAGGTGCTCTAGAGGTTGTCCACCTCTGCCAACCAAACCTCATTGGTGTGTTGCATTCCAAGGGCTGCTACTTTTGCGCCGCACAGTGCAAGCAAATGGAAAACTTCCTCTTACCCTGTAATGAGGGTGTGGCAGATAGCAACAGCGCACCACACTATGAAACAATCCACAAGAAAACTAATAAACTGTTAAAAAAACAAGTGGCACCACAGGACTGGGCCAAAGTTCAACTGCTGAACAGCAGCTCAGGCAGCACTGGGCTGACAACACTGGCGCCAGGGAAAAGCTTTCCCTTGGAGTTTGAGATCATTCGCTGAACCTAAAATGACTTGTCTTGACTCAATATATATTGTGCCTTCTTCCAACATCATCAATGCCTATGTCCCCATCACAACGGACATACACTAAGGTGACAAAAAGAAAAAAAAGATACAAAAGACCTGGACAGACTCTTTGCAACAATATAATCATCTGACAAACTGATGAGCATGAAGGGTTTCGATGCACGTGCTTGGCAGTGATACCCAAACAGGGAGGAAAGGCATCCGACTCACAGGACCGGAAGCTGAACAGCACTCACTCACTCCTGCTCTGCAAAGGTGCCAGCCAGCAGCTCACAATCACTAACACCATCTTCTGCCTAGCAAATAAGAGAAAGATATTATGGATGCACTCAACGGTGGCTTCTCGCTGACAGACTACCAACATTGCCTGTGGGTGGATTTGAGGATACGTGCAAATGACCATAACTGGAAACACTCAAAATTCTTGGGAACAACAGGCCTGAGATCGCACAGCAAACATCTACTGAACATGACCATGGAGACATGCCCAGGGGGTTCTCTGTAGCAATGATCCTAAAGGCATTCTCTACCAAGGGGTTCCCAACTAAAAGTAAACTCAATCTCCCAGGACGCTATGAAGCAAGGCATTAAAAAAAAAAAAAATCACCTTAACTAATTCGAGAACAGCAAAGCCATCCAGAAGTTCCTCTCAAGAAATTAAAAGAGAACACTATCAAAACCATCCCTGTGACCGTCCGCTCAGGGATCACCAAGTGCCCATGGAACAAGGGGCAGATTTCTGCCTCCCCAGGTCAGAATCTAAGCAGAAAGTACCATGAGATAGGCTGTCAAGAGTCAATCAGATCCCCAGGAGGCCCATCAAGGTGAAAGGAGAAGAAATGAAACTTTCCTCCCTGCCCAAGTCTTGACCCAAGGTGTGTCGGAATGTATTTCATAAATTTTAATTTTCTAAGGTAACAAATTTAGAAACGATTTTATTTTTTCAAATAACAGAAACTTGAACAGGTTCCGTACACCAAAGCCAACACACAACTAGACTCTGCCTTGTCTTCCTTAAACACAGATTAAAAAGAGCAGTTACAGTTGCAACTAGGCCTCTTAGTGGTGCAGCTGCAAAACCAGAGGATCCTAATCTAAGAAGTTATGTTTTATATATGGAATAAATACACTCCCTAAGCTAAAGGCTAATAACAATTCATGCAGAGTAGAGAATAAGGAAGTTTTATTAAAGTCTGATTTGAAGAAAATATTGCCTTTGTTTGTATAAGACTGTTCTAGTATAAGGCTTCCTATATAATGTGAAAATTAAACATTTTTTCCTTAAATGGAACAAATAACTTAAGAAACAATAACTGAAACAAATAGGTAACTGTATATATGTAAATATAAATGATACTATAAAAATGAATCTTCAACTATCAAGGTATCCAGATACACTATTCAGAGGCCCCCCCAATTGTTTCAGATAATCTGTTTCCAATTTTCACAAAGTTTTAATAGCTTAAGGTTTATATGTAAAAAGGGGAACCCTTAATTATTAAAATTATAAAGAAAAAAATCTTCAACAGGAAAAAAAAATTCCTAAGGTTTTCGAGAACTAGTTGAACTCAAGAAACAATATATAAGTGATCATGAATATTTCATATTCACAAATATATAAGGTGACAACCAGGTCAGAAATTGGTATGTGAAATCAAAAGGACAAAAATGAAGACCTACGCCATGTATCATGGAATTCTCATTTGAGACAATAAGGATTACAAAAAATAAAGAGAAAATGCAGTTCTCCTTAACACAGCTACCTAAGTAAACAAACAAATGGCAAAAATAGAGAGCTCTAACTCAAATCTTAAATAATGTGACACAGTTTGTAAAACTAAAAATATAGCAAATCAATATTTTGAATGGGAGGGTTTTTACAAAAATATACATTAAAAAAAAAAGTCACAAAGCCCAAGAGTATCCTTCCACTGGGGAAAATGAATCCAAATTACACTCTTAGAACTTACCCAGCATTAGTTTACAGACCACAGTATTTGCAAGGCAATAACTTAAGCTTAACACTTCCTATAAAACAGACAAACAAAAAATCTGCCAATGGACAGTCCTTCCTTGTCATTTTATTTGGTACAGATTCTACTACTGTAAGCACTACTCTTGGAAAATAAGTCATTATTTGAAACATGAGGTTTGCACACACTTAAGTAAGGTCAATGAAGAGTAATTCAACAACTATTTCTAACTCTATGGTTAACTTTCATTAAGAAATTAATCTGAACCAGAAACTGTTCTAGAGCCTTAAACTTATTTAATACAAAAACCTTATCAGGATAGGCATTATTATCCTCAATTTACCAATAAGGAAACTGAGGCACAGGGAGTTAAAGTGACAGTCTGTAAGTGGCAGATAATAGAGACTTGAACCAGGGAGTCTGATTCCAAGCCTGGGCTCTTCTTCATGTGCCATCTCGCTTCCCTGAGAAGTAACGAGGGAAGAGAGATTTACATGTCAAGTGCCATACCGTCCAATTAGCTTTACAAGTAACAGCTGAACAAATCTACATGCGTCTGCAGTAACCAAAGAGTACTTTTTTAACTGAAGTATAGTTGACATGCAATACTATATTAGTTTAAGGTGTACAACATAATGATTCAACATGTATATGCGAGTACATTACGAACAAAGAGTAATCTTAAAGATAAAACTGACAAGGTTTTCAGGATAACGAACCTGGGATTAGATGACTACATAATCTTTCTACTCTTGTCCTCACCCAGACCTACCTACCTTCTGTTTTCTTTGTAATTTACAATGAAAACATGAGAAAGAAGTAGAGAGGCATGTGTGTGGTGGTTGGGGGAGCTGTGTGGAGAGGGAAACAAATATATTTACAAATGGAGTGGTTAATAAGTGAGAAACTGACTCAGGTTAGAAGAGGACATGAATCCAAATGGTCACAACAGATTGAGGTTAAAGTCAGGCGGAATTCTCTGATAACACAAGACCCAGGCAATTTTCCTTAGCAAAGTCTATGAGTGTGAGTAGCATCCATAATCATTTCTAGTTGAAATGGAAATGCTGTTTCACTTAGAGAAAGAAGATTCATTAACTTTAATATGTGTGGCCTCTTACAACAGTAGAAAAGCCCAGGTACTTCTGGCTGGAAAAGGGAGTGCATCAAGGGGCGGGCTGTGAGGACTGACTATGCTGTAACAGACTACCCGTCACAAGGTC